GGATCATAAATTGATTCTAGAAGTCTGTTTCTTGTCAAATGATAACAAAAACATATCAAACTCTATGAAGCACTCAGCGGGCTGCTCGCCTCCTCTGCTGGTCACAGCTGTGCTGCGATTGCGTCTGTGCTACAGTGCCGCATCTTAGCCTTCTTGGGGAGCCCTCCATCGAGCGCAACCAAGGACTGGGAGAGTGGAAGGATGAAATGCAAAGGTTCTGGAGAGGATGCCCCATTTGACGCCATACATAGATAAATATCGTGTGGTAAGTTGGTGGAAACAATACAACGAGATTAAGGAGGGATAATTAAGTGTTATATAGGTTTAGTTAAATTTTTAACTTTAAACTTTTATATTTCCTAATCCATTCATAATGTACATATAGTGCTTGATATCGAATTGATTGTTTTGACGCGTAGAATTTTATAAAATTAATTTTGATTGAATTTTGAGAGGTGAAATTTGGGGTGCATTTTAAAGTTGGTAAAATTTTTCTTGGTTTCTTTAAACTCATTGTTACAATCTTCTCTTATTAAATTTCATCCTCAAAATTGATAAACTCCATATTAACTATATATATATATTTACAAAGTTTGATTGCCGATCAATCCCATAGTCTGACTGAGGGGCGGACCCCCTTTTTAGAAGGTGTGCAATTCGATCCTACGCAGGGATCGAACCCCCAACCCGAGGGACTTACACCAAAGGCTGCAACCAATGAGCCAGACTAAGTCGTGAGCGCGCGCGCATACACACGCACACACCCATTTATTATGAAGTTGAAACATAAATTGATTCGAGAAGTCCGTTTCTTGTCAAATGATAACAACAATATATCAAACTTTATGAAGCAATATTAGTGGCAACATGCTCTTTCGATTCCTGATGTGTTAAGGAATACTCTTGGGCGAAAGTTTTGCCTTGGTTGCTACTTTCAAGCCACAATATGAGCTTCTGTCATCCTCTGCTTACCACTTCTAATAGTTGATCTTTCTTGAAACATCCTTCGAGCTGAATTTCTTCATGGGTTAGCATTCGATGTGGATCTCTGATCATATTTAGGGTAGTTTGTCATCTGATGTACTGGTTGTTTGATTAAGTAACACAACTTCAACCCAAATATTCACCATGATGTTGCTTCCCACACGTAACAAAAGACTCTATAGTGCTGCTGCCGACTTGACCAATAACTATACATATGTAGGAATTTATTTTATTCCCATTATACTCTCCTGAATGAATTGTTATTGCTACTTCTTCCCAACTCTTCATCTTATGCAAATCCCTATGTTTATGAGTCTGCTGAAAATCAATCTCCACCCACCTAGCCCTCTCCAATAGCTGAATAGTCTTCAATCCCAAGTGGCACTAGTGGCCACCTAAATGAAAACTTCAATTTAGAAAGGATCCTGTGACCTTTCTCCTCTGCATTTGGAATGAGCTGCGACACATACCTTGATAGCATAGTGAACTCAGCTTTGTACTGCATAACCGAATAATCTCTATGCACCAACCTAATGAATTCATTTTGCATCTGTCTCCTGACTGATAGTGGTACAAACCATTATCTGAAGGCTCTCACAAACTCATTATGCTGCACCAAGTGGTTGGTTCTACCTCCAAACTTCTACTTTATCTGACCTTGCCACCATCTTTCAGTTTCCCCGGCGAAAGTAAATTTGCAAGGGTAACTCTCTTCTTTCATGGACATGACAACCCATCAATAATCCTCTCTACTTTCAATATCCAATTTTCAGCTTTCGTTGGCCCTCCTGCTCCAAAAAATAAAGGTAGTCTTAAACCTTGAAAGAGTTTTAAGTATTTATTCATCGGTACTTCTCCACGCCTACTTGCTTGAAATTGAGAATTCTTACTCAACTAATTAACAACATTCATCATATTAAAAAAATGCACTAGCACGGACTGTGGCATTTCGGGGCACATTAAATTCTACATTATCATCTCTAACCTCTTCCTCATGATGATCCATAATTATGAAATAATAACTATATAATTTAAGTTGGTTCTATTAAAATTTTAATTTCTATTATTATAATTTAATATAATCATCATATATGCCTCTTTCATTGAGATTCATGATGCTTAATCTAAACCTTTGCTCTGTTATCGCTTTAGTCACGACCAGACTCGGGGTTTGAAATTGATCAATATAGGAACTGTTGGTTGGGTGGTGGAAATAAATTCTTTTATTCAATTTCTATTATTAACAGTTTAGTATTTAAATATTCATAAAAGAGCCCCTAAAGAAAACAATTAAATTAACAAGTGAAAATTTGTACATTTCTTGTTGCTGTTTTCACCTCTTAAAACACATTTGCTTCACTTCTATTCATCTTGTTCAAAAACATAAAATCTAAATAAATATAAACAACATAATGTGTTATCTGAAGATAATGCATGAGTAATTGTATTTTTAAACTGCAGTAACCCAAAGAAAAGAAAATAATATGCATGCCGATATTTCATATTTCTATAAAAAAATTTTCAATATACTAAAAGATGCGTCAATTACCTTTAATCAATGAAAAATATTCTAAACTTCTATATACATTTACTTTAACTTATTTTTACTTTATACTCTTAACATACACATCTATCTGTTCGAGAATTTCCTTCAACAAAACCTAACACACACCTGAATGATATTATCCTGTCGGCACAGCTGTAAACAATATAAACATGATAATTATCGGAGGTGGAAAGACTATACCTGCCCCTAACTGATATTCTTCTGTTGGTACATTAGTTAGCAATCTAAAGATCACAATTGTCTGGGATGGTAAGTTCTGCCTATTTGCCTCTGACCGATATTATTCTGTAAGCATAGTGATTAGTGATTTAACAAGCAAAATTGTCTGGAGTGGCAGAAAAATCTCTACGCGCGGGTATACTACGTCCTTTGCCTGTACTATTAGGATGTTAACAATCATTCTAACACATATAGATAAACATTATTATATAAGTTATTTCATACTTCGTTACTTTCTATTGAGACATTTTTATTTATCTACTAACATGCATACTGTGCTATGCAACTATTCATCATTCATATCTCTCAAATTATGTATGTCTCTCACGTCATTCATATCTCTCATCTCATACATATCTCTTATGTTATTCATTATACCATACATATCATTCATATCATGTCTATCATATGTATCATGCATCTCATGCATATCTTTCATGCATATCTTGTATATCTTTTCTGTCATGCATACCTTTTTCATCTAACAATATGAATAATCCGTTGTAATATAAATCTAACTGAACTAAAACATACATGTAGTCAAAATACATTTTTAAATAAAGGAGATTACTAAAATTTAGAACCATGATTACTCATATCAGTTGTCACATTAGATTCTCAGTCTTCAATAACTAGCCAAGCGTTGCGATAACCCTTATGTTGATATTAATAACTTTTAGAATAAAAATCAAACTTTCGTTTATTGAATTATTCTTCTTAGACTAGGATTAATTTACCAGAATTTTCGGAGCTGTCCCACTGCTAGCTTCCACACGCTATCCTTGAGCTTGCTGCCTCATGTAAATAACTTGGAATATGTAAATATTTTAGGTTTTTATGAAATTTAGGCTCATGTCATATTAGTTCACGAAAATATAACTCATTTGCTAAAACATACCATAAACGTGCTTCATGGAAAAACCCAACCTTCTTCAATCCTGCTTGATCTTCTTCTCTCTTTTTCCTATACTTGTTCATTCCTTCCCCAGCCTTGTTGATTTCGTATTAGAAGCCCTTACGGAAACCCACAAATCAACTTGTTCAGTTTTGACACGATCTCGTCTCTGCTACGACTAACAAAAAAGAAAAAAATGCAAATTTCATGACAAGGAGGAGGAAAATGATTGTCTCAAATAGTGTGAAAGAGAGTTTTGTACTCAACAATTTCGTACCCAAAGCCTAAACCACGAGCTGCGGCACTCTGCAGGTTGCGGTTGTGTTACGATTGCGCCTGTGCTACAGTGCCACGATCGTAGCCTTTTCGCGGGAGCCCTCTGTTGAGCGCAATTGAGACAGGGAAAGGGGAAGGAAGAAATGCAAAGTTTCTGGAGAGGATCCCCCATTTGACGCCATACAGAGATAAGTATCGTGCGGTTAGTTGGTTGGAATTGTAAAGCGGGATTAGGGAGGGATAATTAACGGTTAATTAGCTTATAACTTTCAATTTTAATATTTCTCAATCCATTCATAACTTACATATAGTGCTTTATATTGAATGGATCGTTTTGACGCTTATAATTTTATAAAATTGCTTTGATTGAATTCCGAGGGACACAAAATTTCGGGTATATTTTAAAATTGCCAAAATTTTTACCTGGTTTCTTTAAACTGGTTATTACATGACTTTTGAAGTTTCATATATCATTAACTACATTACTTAATATGCTGTTTGATTTTCATGGACTTCTACTTTTTATTTGAATTTCATTAAATAGAGCCAAAATAATTTTTCTCCTGTTGTCTTTGTAAAATTTTTACTTAGATTTGTCCAAAGATGACTAGTTGAACTAAATAAGCTCGAATTCATGGTAATAGTGACTATACTGCTCATAACATGATTCATATTTTGAGCTGCTTAATAAGAACACTACAAATTTCAATCCATTAATTCAGCCTTCTGTTCGAAGTCTGTTTCTGCTTGTTGTGAACCTATGGTCTCTATTTCAGTTTTCTGCTCAGCATTTCTCTCTTGTTGACAAGCGGAAATTTCTAAAAGTATGGATTTAACCTTAAAACCGTTCATATTTTTATAAATTGATCTGAAATTATTGTCATGTAGCCCAATTATATGTTTGAAATCTTTAGAAAGCAAGTTTATTAATATTTTATGGGTATTTTTGAATACTGCCAGAATCCATCCTTCTGTTTTTGTGTTTTACCATCAAATGACTTCATGTGTTTTTCCTTTTATTCCTCTTCTGAATTAATGTTCACTTCTATTGTTTGCCAGATTGTCAGCGAGGACATGGGAGTGGTGAAGAAGGTATTGAACGCAATTTTGATTTCACAGAAATTTTCGTTCACTTTGATTTATTTTAAGGCGTTTTTTTTGTTTTAAAAAAAGGATAGAATCATCCATTTATTTGACATTGTTTAGGTTGTTTAGTTTGACTCATTTTATATTAACTATCCAAGCTGATAATGACGATGATAAGAAGTATTCTGAGAATTTAGTAAAATCCATTTCTTATGCCATTTTATCCCCCAAGTTTTCTTCTAATTGATCATACTAGAGAAGGAAGATCATATAAGTTTGCATCTCTTTGTAAGAATGTCCATGATTCCTTCAAGATTTCAAATTTGTCTTTTTCTCAAGTCTTCTATGTGCTTAAAATACTAAGAAAAATCTAGGAACTAATTGTACTTATAGTGGATCTTGTTGTTCAGAATAGAAAAACTATGGGTAGCTCAATAAGGGAGGTAATGCACCATGAATTTATACGCAGATAAGAAGAGTGATGTGCCAATGGATCCATGATCTAAACTGGGAAGGAGAATGGCCATAGATTGTTCCTTTGCTATTGGATTTGAATGGCTATAAGGGGATATGAATTCCTATGTTGAATATTGAAAAAGGAGTGCCAGAGATGGATCCCTAGATGGAACACTTGGAAGGCCATAAGGGGCAAAATACTAGAACGCCAGAAATAACAAGTTTTTAAATTTTAAATTGTTGTAGTTCCTTCTTAGAAATTTTATAGTTTTCAGTTATTTTCTAGACAAATTTATGTATGAATACCCATTGGATGAATGAACAAATTAAATTTTTAAGCCACTTTTTTTTCAATAGTCTTTTACAAAGATTGTTAATTCTGATACTGGAACGTCACAAGAGGCAGATTATTTTCTCATTAGATAAATTTTGAAAGCAACATGGTTATTTTATATCATACCATTTTCTTATTAAATTCTCTTATCAGATATGTGTAGGAAGTAATTTGGTTTTTTTGTCATATCATTCTTTTAATTCACGTATGAGGACATGCTAATCTTTTTGTTACTTGCTTATGGTTTTTAGATTTTATGCCCATAAATAGTCTAGTGTTTGTATTAGATTTATGATGGATAAATAAATGAATATGAAGAGCTCTTATTGAATTTCAACTTCCTTTCCTTCCGATGATACACATTCTTCTTCTTCCTCCATCTCGCACCTCGACAGTTGGTGCCAGGGTCCCGTCCTTCTCTCTCTTGGTTAATGATAATCCTGTCCTTCTCTCTCTTTCCCACTATCTCAAGGTTTATTGCAGTTCCTGCTATTTTCCTCCCAGCCCGTTTGATTTGCAAAGTACTTGCTATTATTTTGCAATTAGAGTAAATGCTAATCCATTTTTAGTTTACTATGTCCAAAGATTCCTGGCCATTGTTCACATCGTATAGAAAATACCCCAAGGTTTCACAATTTCCATGCTCAAATTTTTATACCTGTTGAAATTCTGCACTGCTAAAACTTTAGTTTGCTTCCAGTTCTGCAATTTTTTTACTTCCACGTCTGATGCTCCTTTGCTAAATGCTACTCTTCATTCTTCTGTTTTGTGTACCTATCTACATAAGTTAGGGCATACTCCCGCACATTTTTATATGTTCTTATTAGCACCCCATGATCTCAAATATTTTTAGGCAAGGCACAATTTTGTTAAGTTCCATGACATCAACCTCCTAAATAAACTTAATTTGTAATCCCCAACTTCATCAATTTTTGTAGGCTATCTGATGTCGGAGTTAACTAAACAACAATAGGAAAAATCAATATTATTGCTGAAATCAAATAGAAACTAATCAAAATTATTGCTGAAATCAAATAGGAACTTACAACCAAATAAATGGAAATATGAAATTGCAGTAGACACGACATGAAACATGCGACTAGGGAGAATCTAAGATAGTGGTGGTGGTGGTAATGTCTTACTTTTTCAAGTTTACAAACAGAACAATCAACTATTAAACTCTTATATGTAGAATAAATAACACCACTTTTAAGTAAATGTTTCAACACCATATCATTTGGTTGACCTAGCCTTTTATGCCAGATGCCTGCCTTATTCTAAAAAACTGAAGAAGCTAATGACATGTTATGAGGAACAATAAATTGTAATGGAAACAACCTGCCTACTTTAGGCCCCTTCGCTATCACCTTCCTCGACATCTGATCATGTACAATATAACCATCACGAAAAAAATGTACGTCACAGTTATTATCCAGAATTTGACCAACAGAGAGTAAGTTAGTAGATAATTTAGGAGAAATCATTACATGTCTGAAGGAGGAGTTAATATCACCAATTACCGTAATTAGAATATTATTTCCATCAGCAACTTGAATATGTTGAGTACCACTGTACGACTGTTCGTTATGCAATAAATCAGCTGTAACATTCATATGATTTGTGGAGCTTGAATCGACAAACTAATGAGAAAAAACGAAAGTAATAGTTTTACCTTTCTCTTAAAGGCCGAGAGCAGAAAAGACAGAAAGAATCATCTGTTAAACAATATCTGATGTGATAGCTGATTGATTATTTCCAATAACTGTGGATGTCGGGCCAGGTTTGTGAGTGTCGGATACCGTGGCATATGAAGTTATTATTTGTGGTTTTGGGGCCGTGTAGGGCACTCCGTAAGAATATGTCCCTTCTGCTTGCAATAAGAACATACCTTATTTTCACAATTCCGTGCAATTTGACCAAATTTCTTGCAGCTATAGCACTGCATTGGTCCTTTCCCTTTGGTCTTTGCAGCATATGCCATATTAATTATTTCTAATGATCCACTTATTATACTGATAGCAGCTTGTGTCGCCAATCTTTGTTCTTCGCGCAGTAATTACCCAAAACAAACATCCAAAAAAGGAATCAGATCTTTGTTCAACAATCTAGCTCAAGCAATTTCAAATTTAGATCTGAGTTTCATTAAAAATTGATCACGATGACTTTCTTCATGAATAGCTTGAAGACGAGCTAAGTTCTCCTTTGACACCTTAGTACAGATAATGCCAGTATTTTCGCTCTATAAATTTAGAAAGCCTAAATAATATTGTTCAATTGAAAGATTACCCTTACTATAATTACTCATGTCAAGTTTCAATTGAAAGCGTTTCACAGACTTTTCTTGATTATAAACACGCTTCAAGTATTCCCACATTTCTTTAGCTGTGCCAAAGGATCGTAAATTGTTCACCATATGAGTCTCAATAGATCCCAAAACCCAGGAAACAATTCGAGCATCCGTTGCTTCCCATTGACCAGAATCTTTTGCCTCAATAGGTGCTGGAGAAGACCTATCAATATGGCCCCAAAACTCATTCCCTTTTAAGAACATTCTGAGCTGAAATTCCTATACGACATACTTATTTCCCGTAAATCTGATAGCTAAAATTTCCGAAGACATTCTAAATAGAATTGTTGCTGATCGAAATCAACCAGAAATAAAAGAAAGCCAAGATATCCATAAAAAAAATCCTAATCATTAATCTAAATCAACCTAAGAGATTCAAAAAATCGTGCACTGCTTTAAATTAGGATAAGAGTCCGAAGTCAAAGCTAAATCCCACGATCCTTGAGTGCGACGATCTAGGAAGTATATCGGTGCTGAAATATGCTGACTATACCAAAGTCTACGATACAGTCGATGCTATCAGAGGAGAAGCAGACGAAGTGAGCAAAGTGGACGAGAACAGACTGGTCGAGGCGGATGAAGTGGACGAAGCAGTTAAGCGGTCGAGTGGTAGTCGAACTCGAACAAATCGAGCGGCAGTCGAGCGGCTGCGAACAACAGTCGAACAGATCGGGCGGTCGAGCGGCAGTTCGGGCAGTCGAACAGATGAGCGGTCGAGCGACACAGTGGAAGTAGTTAGGGCATACAATGGTTTAGGCGAACACGACGATCTCTTCAGGCGAAGCAGATGACTCCAGAGGTTCAAATCCTAAATATTTGACGTGTCTCTAATATCATGTAAATATTTTGAGCAATTTTGAGCAAATAGACTGCCTTTGCTTTCACTCCAATAAATAATAGTTTATACAATCTTTTTTAGGTACATAATATTCTGTATAATCTATTTTAGGTAACTTAATAATCTATTTTAGGTAACTTAATGTAACTTAATTAATGCATATTCCTAATCTAAATATTCAGCTAAAAAGAGAATTTTGTGCAAATATAATCTTTCCTTCTTTACTGCATTGTGAAGAAGGAAACTCTTTATTTTGCCTGATTTCATTTATTTCTGATTGATACAAATATCATATTGTGTTTTGTAAGAACATAAAATATTATGTGTTTGCTCACGATAAATTCATCAAGCATCTTGCTATAATATCTTGAACGACAAAATATTATGATCATTTATGTGTACCAACATTCATATAAACTACATAATTTGTGTATGTTGAAACGTGTGCACAATGTCAATTATATATCCGCATAGTACGCCTTGTCTATAGGACAAGGTTTTAAGTCCTAACCTACTAGTCTGATCCTCTTTCTCATAGAGATTGGATTTGTCGAGTATAATAATGTTAAAATAAAATTCTAAATCATAAGTATAAGAATTTATAAGTTTCAGTCACGAAGTTCGATCTTCTTTCTCGTAATGACTGAAGTTGACAAGAGTAGAATTCTAATGATATTCAGGTGATTAATTTCAAATAAATTTCAAACATAAATGTTTTTAGATGTCCATATCTTCGATGATGGCCGAGTTTGTAGAAACTTTCTACTGAAGGTGTTAATTTTTTAAATAAAGATTTTTAAAGTAATCAACCAAAATATTTCAAATAAAAATAATCATGTAAAAGATAATGTAATCTTCATAGATCCTCCAAAACGCTTTGTTTGGGCTGAAAATTTTTTAAGTGATTTTAATTCACAAAGAATGAATGCCATATTGAGTGTATTACTATATTCTTACTCAAAATAATTTAAGGTTAGTATGCATGTCGCCTGAGTCCTCTGTTTGAATGATTCGACCCAAAGAATTCATAAAAGTAGCAGTTACGATCATAGCTTTATGACCAGGTGGTTGCCACCAATGACACTATTATATTACGATCACGACTGTAGCTTGTATTTTCCTCAACAGCTTTCTATCCTTTGAGTTTTGATTCATAAGGGTACAATTGATTGCCATGATGCCTTATGTTAGTTAAGACCGACTTAAATTTATCCACTTGAACAAATATCCACCCTACATTTATAATGGTCTCTTAGACTACACAACCCATCTGGTCAATGACCCCCTCTGATTAAGTAGAACAAGGAGTACGTGACTCGAGACGATGGTACCATGAGATCTTAATGGGGTTCGTCTTCATTTTTCCCACCATCTGTTTTAAGTTCCAGGTGATAAATTTTAACAACTTAAAATCATATGTCTGCTGCTACTCTATGTTAAATACTCAGTGTTTGATGACTAGATATAATTAGATGCGCTCTTCCATTATCGGGAAGTGTTATTAACTATAGCGGTTTGCGCCTATGGGAAACCTCAAAACCCAGATCAAAAAGTCCCTTTAAAATGAGGGAAAAATCTCTAGATAGTTTCTTCTCTACTATTTCTTCTGCTTTCTGAATATTTGACTTAGAACTTAACACTAAGCTCTCAACTAGAGTTCGGGGTGTCAATTTCGGAGCCCACACATCCATCTCCACGTGTCCTCTTCGCTGATGAAATTTAACATCCAGAGTGCAAGGTTCTTAAATAATTGTGTTCTCCATATCATCTTAGAGATGCAATTAACCACTGGCACCTAGACCGTTGAGAACCTTAATCCCTCAAACTTAAAGTAAATTTGGTCATTTGTCTTCTGCCAGTGAAAATCTAAGGGATTTTCAGTAATCAACCTTTAAAATCCCATCCCGCTCTTCTTGAAACTCCAAAAATTGTAATAGTAAATGCTGGAGCACCTGAGTATTTCAGTTCTAATAATCACAAGAGGATGTTGCTTGGTTCCGCCCAGTGCTAAATCTTCTGAATTGTTTGTACTTAATGGACTTTCCCCCCCTCTTCTACAACTTGACGATGAGCTAGTCCAACTTCATCTACCATTAATCTTGGGAAGTGTTATTTCTAGTATTGGGAATTAATTCTTTGATCAGTACAAGCCACCTCCGTTTCTCTTACTGGATCTATTCATGGAACAGCTTGATTATTCATGTCATATATATCTTATGCCCTGCTTTTTTTTTTTTGTTTTATGACATGCTTATCATTTTTTTAGGGTTGTTTTAGTCTTATTGTTGTTTACCCTTGTCTGTAAAACGGGATTACTACTAGTACTAGGTTTAGAATTGGTGAATGAGAATAATAGTGTTAAATTCTCTACCAAACAGGAGATTATTGCAAGAAAAATGCGAAATTTTGGTTCTTGCAAATGGTGCGGTGCTTTATAAAAAAACTTAGCACGATAAGCTGTCTTGTACTTCTACTTTGGTAGAGTAGAAGTGTTCATTCTGTAGCATTTACTATGACATCAATCTGTTGTTATATCTCTTACCTTTGAATGTTGATTTGTACAATTTGCCATCACTTTCCAAACCATGATGGTTTGTGCAAGAATACTACTGAAAATGTAAATTTTTTCCTCTACCGTTTGTTTATTTAGACCCTCCCGCTTAATTTTTTTTTTCCAGATTATTGACGAAGGGCAAGGCTGGGAATGCCCAAGAGAACCATATGAAGTAGAAGCTTGGTATATTTCTCTTCACTGGAACACCATATGCCTATTTTAATTCTTCCTTTGACAAGTTATTGATGGCTTGTTAAATGTCCTAATGCTGAGATGAAATTATTTTTATCAAGACCATCATGGTACTTCTATTCTCAGGATAACTGCAAAAGCAGCTGATGGCAACATGATCCTACCACGTATGAACAATCCATATCACTTTACATTTGGTAAATCAGAGGTTCGTAAAATATTTTTCCGTCAGTTTTTTATTTTCGTTGTTGTTAAATTTCTGCGGTAGCTTATACCAGAAAGTTTAGTACGATCAGCCATAACTTGTACTGTGGATGATCCTTCTTGGATGGTAGATTTGATAGATTTTCTAAGTTCCATTATGATTTATTTTCTTAAGCTTCCCTTTTTTATCTTATTCTGACTTGATGTGCTGGCAAAAATTATTTATGTGCTTTCTATTTGAAATTCTATTATACTCTTGAGGGCTTGGAAAATTCGACGTTTGCCTGTATTGGGAATTTTGTATTTGGTATTCTGGATTAAATTTTTAGAAGACAGATGAAACAATAGATAAGATACTACCTAGAAATTTTGCTCTCATTTTGCGAGAATATTTTAATATGGGGTTTGAGATTTCCATTAGTGCAAGCCTTTATGCCTATTTACTCATTCTGATAATAGGAAAACACTTGTGATTAAGGCTAGTTATTTAACGCTGAATAATCAGCGTATATTAGAAGTAGACTAAGTGTTTTATTATAAAAATTACTACTTTGAGGTTAAAGCTAATGATGGGGAAAATGATGACTAACCGAATCAATATCCAATGATTTCGTCCTCCCAGGTCATCACGATCTCTGATCTACTTAGTCATAAGAGGTAGTCAAACTAACCTGATTGAAAGATTCTTGTCAGCAACCATGAGTTGCTTCGTCCAAGGGATCATTGTATATCTAGAATCTATGTTTGTCTAAGAGGATGAATTTAAGTGAAGCTTAGCTAACAAAATGTTTTGTGCTAATCAAATATACCTTATTATACGTGTATATATTGGTACGAGAGAACAGTCAAGTGAGTGAGTGAACGTTAAACATTAACTCGCTCAACATTCTTGGATATTTGGAATTTAAACACTAAATTTGGTTTAGCACTTGCAGGTATTCAATTTCATTAAATTAGTGATGCAAAAAAAAAAAAAAAAAATCTGTTGACTCTTTCCAAAAGATTGCCTTCTGTCTACTTGCAAGTTTGAATTGCAGATCTGATGGCGACATTTTAATTTTAAAAGCCCCACATTTGGATTTTTTTTTTCAACCGCTGAGTGCCTAAATTCGAATTTTAGAAGCCAAAATATAAATTATTTTTAAACCTTAAATGCTTAAATTTCAAGGCCCAAATTCATATTATTTTTAAACTTTAAGAACATAAAATTTATTTTTTTTTCAAAGGCCCAAACTTAAATATTTTTGCAAGTTTAAAGTTTTAAAAATTTTGAATCATTTTTTTTTTTAAATGAAACAATTCCAGACTTAAGTTAACTTGCAATCCAAAATCACAAAATTATGGCAGCCTCCCGACGTGGTAGCCTACTCAATCATCTATAAAATATGCTCGTCAGTGTCGTTAGATATTGCGAACGGGGAGCAAAGCAAAGTATTTTTATACACGGTCTATATGATTCTACAGATCAGTATACCTGCAAAAAGGCAATCACAAGCGGAAATTTTTCTGAATAGGTACTTTAGTTTTTTTGAACGATACTTTTTTAAATATGTACTCGTTTTTTCTAGCAAGGGTTCTTAAAACCCCTAGTTTTTTTTAAAAATTTTTCAAATGATAGTTACCCTCAACGGAACTTAATTCCCCTGAATAGTTAAACGATCTTTCTTGAATGGATATTTTAGGAAAAATTCACCTCATGTCTTTGTTATACCTTTGCAAGCAAAATCGGAGATGCCGGCTTTTGGTGAAGCGACGAGATCGGCGAAGTAAAGAACATACTTTACAAAAATTATAGTATAAGAAATAATGTATTAAAATAAATAATAAAATAGCGATGCCAGGGTTTGGTGAAAGGGAAATAAGAGATCGATGTTCTTGGCTCTTGCTGGTTTTTAATAGAAAAGTGAGGGATCAAGAGCTTTAGTTTTGATCTTTGTGGCATGGAGCGACGAAAGCAAACGAGTTGGGAGTTTCGAATGTTTTTGTTCGAAGTAATCTCATCCTTGGCTTTGGTTTTGTAGTAATCGCAAAGAGGTGGAAGGTTTTCGCCAGGTTGGGTTCGTGGATCTTGTTAACAAGAGACATAAAAATTTTGGAGGTCTTTGCACGCAACAATCCCGTCATCGCTTCTCTGCAGTCAAAGTTGGGAAGGTTGGGATGTGTGTGCTACATGTTTGAGATGGGAAGAAGGAACTTGTGGTGTGGCTAGGGCAGATGAACCTTGTGGCGCAGGAGGAAGAAGTCGAATGGAGAAAACAGTGTGTGGAATAAGGTTTCGTGCTGGTAGCAGTGATGGGGGACCTGATTTCGTTTCTAGGAATAGAGGAGTCAAAGAGGATGAAGGAGACGAAAGCGAGACATGAAAGAGGAGGCATTGTGGTTTTCATAATTCATGTGTATATTGGTACGAGAGAATGAGCAGAGCGGGAGGAGTTATTATCTCTTAGTGCGGGAGTAAAATTTAACTTAACATTAATTAAGTGTAATTTAACATATATAACAGCATTAATAATTTTTTTACAGTTTTTTTATCAACTTCAACAACTGTCATGTGGCAATATTTAATTGACCTTTGAGAAGTTCAAATGTTCTTTTAGATTGTTGTTTCTACCTATTAATATGATATTTGATATTTGATTGCCTAATTTAGATACCAAAAGGGGTAGAGATGGGAATTGGAACAATGACCAAAGGAGAAAAAGCCGTCATATATGTGAATAATGGGTATTTGTCAGAATCTTCATTGATGCAAATTCCTGAAGGCCATGAAGAGGTTCAGTTTGAAGTGGAACTTATACATTTTACTCAGGTTAGGTCATTTTTCTAACTGAACAAGCAATACTATTCTCTAGCCTTACCATAATCAGTTTTGAGATGAAGAGATCTTTGCTGATTTTGTGAAACAGTTTTTTTTTTTTTTTTCGCCTGGAAGAAATTCTAGTAACTTTTAAATATTTTTGGTGCCATGCTCAAGTGGTTGTACTCATTGTGTATATTTCTAGTAGACATAATATTTGATATTTCGTCTTGAAATGTCAGGTGCGTGATATGCTTGGTGATGGACGTCTAATAAAGCGCAGAATACGTGATGGAAAAGGTTCCTATCTCGAAGAACTTCTTTACCTTTAAATTCGTATGAGATGCTTAATAACTTTAATTAGGCAAATCAAATAATTTCACCGCCACATCTTATTATTAATCTTTATCACCCTTAAAGGCTAGCATTAATAAGTTTTTGTTCTTTATTTTTCCACTATAATTTAAATGTTTGATATGATGATATCCTTTACCGCATATAAACAAAATGGCTATTCTTATCTGGAATTTCACTTTTTATTTAGCAATTCTTCTTTTTTAAAATTCTTCCTCAAAATTATCAATTATTTATTCACCATATTTAGCCACTCCATACATTATTACGCCTCTAATTTGTCATTACTGCTCAAGCTAGCAATAGTGGAATTTATCATTTTTTATGAAAGCACTACATGTCTTAGACTGACTCCTTCTGCCTCGTGCTCTACTGAGTCGAGTGGTCCCACTGATCTCATGCCAGACCCACCAAATAATTTGATGACTTATTTTAGGTGCAAGACTAAAAAGGTAATTTAGTAATTTTTTGTTATTATTATTTGGTATAAATAAGGCTTAATAGAATTGGGGTTGGGGTATGTGATTTTGCCTTGAAATTAGGGTTAGTGAGAAAATTATCTACCTCTCGAATTGTAGGTCTATCTTTTATATATTTGGGATTATGCTCTTTTGTACTGGTGGAGTAAGATATTTTATTTTGCTTTAATCTTTGTGGAAACTTGTTTTGTTCCTATCAAATTCGTATCAAACTAGTACCTGGGAGTAATGATGGCAAAAAAAGTTGATGTTTTGGATGAGAAATTAGAGGGAGTTATAAGCCAAATTAGATTCGAAATGGAAGAGTATTTTTCATCTATTGAGTTGTCCACGGAGTGGCGATTTACGATCTTGAAGAAATGATGAAGAAGATCGCGTAGTTCCACACAAACCCGCTGCAACCTGCTGCGGGATCGAGCGAAGGAGTTTGGAGTGGAATCGAGCGACAAAAATTGGAAATCATGTGAAATCAGGGGTTATGCATGGGGCAACATCACTGTCTTAGGATGATCTAGTCGTAGGATCGAGTAAAATGAATTGGGAGTGGATTCTAGCAGCAATACCTGAAAGGAAACATTTGACATCTAGAGGGCTGGAATGAGCGGAAGCAAAATAAACTAGATGGTGGCGTGCGATTAGGGCCTGGAGACGACCCATTCGAAGGAATTTGACTAGGAGTGATCAAGTTGCATCATGAGTGTTGGAGAGAGCAATAGCAAGCAGAACCCTAAGAAAAATATCTAGCTTCATGAAGGGGCTGAAGCTAGATATTAGAGCAACACTTCGTTTGTTGAGGCCGCGAGAATTGAGGGAAACTATGAAATTAACACTATTAATTGAAAATAAAAATGCATTGAAATGGGCTAAAAGGATTAGCATAGTTGGAACACCATATCGAAGTGCTATAACCATGACGGTACCAAAAATGCAAATCTTAGGATTCTAGAGAGAGGCTCCACGAGATAAGAATAATGTGCCATGACCGGTAGTGTCCTTCAAACTCCTTACATAGACATAGATTCTAGAGAAGCGAGCCTAGGTGCTACGTTTTTGATGTGATAAGAAGTTTGCCCCAGGAAATCATTACGAGGATCAGACTTTACTGGTTCTTATAGTATGTGATGAGGAGTCAGGAGATGAAGGAACATAGAACATTGTGATGGAGGAGGATTACCCTCACCTGGATGTGACAGAGGTCGCATTGAATTGTTGGTGGGATTTACATCGAACCACACTGAAACATCAAGTACAGATGGAGTAGGATGTAGTGATGTTGGTAGATAATGGGGCCACCCACAACTTAACCTCCACTCAAGCAGTTGAGCAATTAGGGCTTTAGATGGTTGGCATAAGAATTTTTGGAGTAATGATGGAGACGGGACATCTGGAGAAAAATAGGGGAGTTTGTAATGACTTTGACGCTGCAGAGTATTCATGTGGTGGGGTATATTTTTCTTGGATTGAGGGAGTAATGATGTAATAATTTTCTTGGATTTTTGGAGTACTGATGTAATATTGAGTATGAAATGGTTGCAGTCCTTAGGAGAGATTAAGATTAATTGGAAAATTTTAGCAATGGAGTTTGAGGAGGGCGATAAGTGGGTGGTGCTTTGTGGTGACCCTAGTTTGTGCAAGATCTTGACGACACTCAAGATAATGGTTAGGGTAATTGAGGATGTATGGTAGAGACACATAATACATAGTTCGTAGAAATCTCTACATCTGTCAAACAACTTTTATAACCTTTTGTAAAATTTTCTAGTTATGACGTAGATTTCCTCTTCAGAGGGAAATGAGCATGCGATAACCCTGAGGCCCATGGTTTTTGCTCATAGTGTGCACTCATACTACTACCCCTAGGTATAGAAGGACGAGATCGAGATATTTATCTAAGTCATGTTAGAGGCAGGGACCATACAACCTTATGTAAGCCCCTACCCTAGCCTGACCTTGCTAGTTAAGAAGAAGGATTGGGCTTGGTGTTTTTGTGTGGATTGTCAGACAGTGAATAACGAAACAATACCTGACAAATTTTTCATTCCGGTGATTAATAGGAAACTGAAAGAGTTGTTTGGGTTGCCTTTTTATCTAAGATTAATTTGAAGTTAAGATACCATCAAATTTGGATGACACTATTAGATGTGCACAAAACAACTTTTCGAACTCATGAGGGTCACTATAAATTTCTGGTTGTGCCATTCGAGCTCACGAATTACATTTAAATCATTAATGAATAAGGTATTTGAACATTTTCTCAGGAAGTTTGTTTTGGTGCTCTTTGATGATATCCAAGTGTACCATCGCTCTTTGGAAGACCACATTAATGACCTTATAGGGTTCTATCGGAAGTCCGTGAAGGGTTATAACTCAATTTCGTTGTCGTTGACAGAGCAATTGTAGAGTGATAACTTTTAGTGGGAGGAAACGATGACCTAGACTTTTGAAAACTTATAGAAGGCTATGACGAGTGTACCAGTGCTAGCATTACTGGACTTCAATCAATCATTTATTGTAAAAAAGGATGCTTAATGCTATGGTTTAGGTACACTCCTCTTACAATGTCAACGACTCGTCGTTTATTGAAGTCAAGTGTTGACTGCGAGAGTTAGATTCAAATTAGTTTATGAGCAGGAGCTTATGGCGATTGTGCTTGCTATTTAGAAATAACGACCTTATTTGTTGGGGACTGCATTTTACTGTACACACGGATCAACACAACTTTAGATTTTTGTTAAAATAACATATGGTGGCTAAGGAACATCATATGTGTCTATCTAAGCTTTTAGGGTATGAATTTGAGACATTGCTGCCCATAATTAAATAATAAGGCGATGATGCCTTATCACAATTCATGGAGGAACCTCAATTTTTGACATTATCATTTCTTTTAAACTTAGATTGGGAAGTCCTAAGGCAAGAGAGTGAGGTTGAAGAAGAATTGGGCAAGATTCGATAGGCTTTTTTGAATGGTGAGAACAACTACCCGAGTTATTCAATGAATGACCAACGTTTACTTTATTGAGGATGTTATTTATTACCCTAAATTTCAAGACATATATCTAAGTTATGATAGGAGTTGCACGACAATGCTATTGTGGACATTTGACATGCTCAAAACACACTGTAGGATGGTGGTAAAATTGTATTTGTTGGATATGAGAAATGATGTGGAGGATATAGTCCAAGGTTTGATGTGTACCAATGATAGAAATACATGACGTTAGTGCTTGTGGGTTGCTACGACCTCTAGCATCATTGGAGAAGGTATGGCTGAAGGTGAAGATGAATTTCATGTAAGGCTTACCTTGGTCAGAAGGATTTATAGTCGTTATAATGGTCGTGACCAGTTGAGTAATTACAACCACTTTATACCTCTATGTTATCCCTACACTATTTATGTAGTCGCTATTTTTATATGTGGGATTTTTCAAGGGTTTTTAGAATAGATGGTGTTCGATTGAGACGAGGTATTCTTGGGTCATTTGTGGAGGGACCTGGGATTGTATTGAAGAAAATTACAATGTACTATCCACATATGACTGACAGTTCGAAGTTGTCCATTATTCAGAAAGTCATGTTGGATGACTTGATTGACACTTTGGCTGGAATACGACTCTCGCACTCATGGGGGAACACTTTTTATGACCTTGATGGATGAGAGATGTGGACCGACACGTCAGGTAATGCATGATCTTTGTTGTGGCTAAATCCAAAGGGCAGGATGCAGCACTATACACTGCATTACTGGTATATGAGGCCTAGCGCTTGAATGTTAACATGCATTTTGTTGTAGGTGTTTCGAGAACGCATCTAATCAAAGATTATGTGATCGTTTTGGTGTATATAGATTCTCGAATATGTGACATTTTTTACTCAACCGCCGAATGATGGATGCATCAAATGTAACTGATTTGTACTTTTGAGAGGTCACGAGTCTACACGGGATACCCAAGACTATCACTTTTGACAAAGATGTTGAGTTTCTAAGTCACTTCTGGAGGACTCCATGGGGAATGCTTGGCACTAAGCTTCAATTTAGTTCAACAACCCACCCATAGGCTGACGGCCAGACGAAGGTGGTGAAAATGAGCCTGGGGATTCTTCTAAGGTGCTTTGTGTGAAAAAATATTAAACACTAGGATCTAATTTTGGCCCAAGTCAAATTTTCTTATAATAGATCTATGAGTCAGACCACGGGGCACACCTTATTTGAGATTGTGAATAAGCGCATCCCCCTCACTCCACTTGACTCGGTACCACTCCTACAACACCTACCAATAAAATATGACAGTATTTCTGGACGAGATTTCATAAGTAAAGTAAAGTCATACGAGAGAAATCATCTACAAAATTGACAAAATGTTTAAATCCATTAGAAAAAATTGGACAAGGTCTCCACACGTCAGAATGAGCCAACTCAAAATTATGAATGACTTTTTGATTAAATCTGGGAATAAAAGGCAAACATTTATTTTTAAGAAATTGACACAACTCACAATTTAAAGATGTTAACTACTGAAATTGAGGGTATAATTTTTTTCAACATTGATAGAAAGTGATGTCCTACTCAACAATTGATCTCAAAAGTGACTAAGGTGTTGGAATAGGCTACAGGTTACAGTACCTCAAAAATGTTTTGACCCCCTGATTCTTAATCTTTACCAATAATCTTCTTCATCATATGATCTTGAAATATACAACGAGTGGTAAAGAATAAGATACAACAATTAAGAGAACATGTGATTTTGCTAACAGAGAAAAGATTAAAAGCAAAATGAGGTAAACTGAGAAAAAAATGTTAAAGGCAATGTGGGTTTGATATTGATGGTGCCAGAACTGAGAAGATTAGAGGTTGGTCTATCTGATAAAGTGACGAAAGAGAGGTTTTTATGAAAGGTAGAAAAGAGTGGATTACCTGTCATGTGATCTATAATACCAAAATCAATGTTCCATTTTGTGGTTGATGAAAGAAGACAATTATCATTGTTACCTAAGTCAGTATGAGTAATGATAAATGGTGATTTCTTAGTGGTTTCATTAAATTTAATGAACTTGGCATATTTATTTGTAGAGATCGAGTGAGTTGGACTTAGAGAGGCTTCATTTGTTGTGACCACGGTAGTTGACTGTGATTTAGAACCCTTTTGGTTTTTTTAGCAACTTCTGACATGTATGTTTTCGATTGACAAGGTTCATGATAGTAATAGCTCACTACGTTCGACCCTTAATTTTTTAGAATTCGGAGTTCCACTTCTGTAACTGCCCAACACATAGGTTTACTGATATCTATATTTTTCTGACAAAGGAAAGTACTAGGTTTTGGTATGGATGAGGCCTGAGAACTTGGGATCATACGTAGTTCTCTATTATGGGTTGTACATCCATGGTTAGATAAGATTTACGATTTAACACCTTACTGAGAATTGAGGTCAGCTAGAAAAATAATGATAATCATCTGTTCTCTTTGAGCTTGTTGAATTTTTTCATCGGTATTAAAGGGCAGTAGTGCATTCAATTTTTAATACACACATTTATAGTACATGTGATATGTGCTAAATGACTGATCCCGTTGTTTAACACGATAGAATTCTTTACATGTATCAAATATTTGAGAAATAATTTCTCCTTGAAAACTCCTGCGTCAATTCTTCCATTCCATCTCATTGTCACGATGAGTAATATGACCGGCTTGATTAGGTTCGATAGAATTTTGTATTTGTATCAAAAGTTGAGCATCCACTCATCTATTTAGAATAATTCAACATAGTCTTAGCTGAAGGATTATAAATGAGGTGAATTTCTTTGAAAAATACTCCTTAAATAGAGTCTCATAGTTTTATTCTAGTAGAATTTATTAAGTCATTTAATTTTTTTTTCTGTAATCTTAACTATTAATGAAACCAAACCTGTCACAAGATTTTTGTGTTCGCTAGCCATAATCAATGCCATTAAGTACTAAAGAATGAACTTTCAAAGTACTCAAAGATAAATAACTTCGGACCCACTATTGAAGGGAAACAAATTGACCCCAATGAGCAGCACCCAATGACACTCATAGGCGGATTAAGTAGATTGAAGCATTCAAAGTTGTCGCAGAAGTAGATGACACAGTTTGAACCGGTGTTGAACACGCATAGGAAGCAGTCTAAAGAAGACTTGAGGGAAGCAATCAAAGGAGGGCGAAGCAGAGGAAGCTGTCAAAGACTCGCAGTAAGCAGTGAGCTCATCGTAGAAGCAGACAATGCCGCGCCAAAGTCGGTGAAGGCATCGACCTAACTAGGCGAAGATGTTGACCGAAGCAGGCGAAGCGTCGACGATGATGTCGTAGGGCATTGACGATCTCTTCTCAGGAAAAAAATAATGTGATCGAGGAAGCCGGAAGGTGATGAAAATGTCGCAAGATGCATACTAGAGAACAAACAAACACTTTGACTTGAACTCTGATACCATGTGACGGCTAGAAACTCACTTCTTATTCCTCATTGAAATCGTATGTTGCAACTTTATAGATAGTCCTCTCTCTAGATTAGGACTATACCTATTATAGAAATGATCTGAATTAAATCTCCTATAATTACTTTACCTAATATTAAAGCATCCTGATATGCAAGCTACCTAACATACAAACTTTATATTTAGTATTCTTCATAACAATTTGCACCCAATGCAGTTAGCACCTGATTTAAGAATTTTCATAAATATGATCACAAACAAAGTTATGTAAGCCAACGATGATGATGCAACTAACCGACTTGTTGTCAGTTAAATTACTCGGCTAAAATTATTATATTAGTGTCAGGTAAGCTATATAGCATTGTCAGCTATTATATTAAGAGGCTTTTATATGCATACCACTCAATTCTTATTTATTTACATATCTAACACTTAAACTTTGCTGTTTTACCTTTATACCATCCAAATCTTTCACATTACATAAAAAAGTACCACTATTTCTTTTTTTTCTTGTCAACTACTAGGTGAGTTCCCTATGGACTGCCCACTTCAAGATAGTTTGTTGAGGGTGCATTACAAGGGGATGCTACTTGATGAGGAGAGGTTTGTATTCTATGACACAAGGGTTGATAACAATGGTGAGCCGTTGGAGTTCTGTTCTGGAGAAGGACTTGTAAGTGTTTCAATTTTGACTTATTTTATAATGTAACAATGACCAAGGAATTCTGAATCTCCTTTAAGATAACGGACTTTGGAATAATTTTATAAAGAGGTGGCTAAGGAGCATGAAGTTTATTAAGCATTTATACCTATAAAATAATGGTCAAATACATGTGGTCCCACTGGCCGATTGTTTCCATAAAATGAAAATTTTTGTGAACATGTCAACAGAAGTTCCTTTTTACGTAGTAACTAAGCATTCCTACTTTTAATTTATGAAGGGTTATATTTACTGTTGTAAATCTTTTGATATTGTCATCTTTAGCTTAATTAATCTGTTTTGACTTCAGAAGAAGTTTATTTTGAAATTGGAAGTAGAAATCTACTATATAGATTTTAAAATTGATGCATGGCGATCAGTGTCTTCATCATTGTTTGTTGGATATATTACATAAATTTTAATAAAAATGAAAGCATGCATATGGGGAATCTATGTTTGTGATGTCAGTGCAACTTGTAATAAAAGATATGCACATTCTCTAGGTTCTGTGGTGTAAACTAATTTGTTTAAACGCAATGTTCTAGATTAATATCTATGTAAAAACCGAATAAAAAATCAAGTTCCCATTTGTTTTTGAGATTTTTGTCTGACATTGAAATGATTAACAATTTTGACTTAAAGTTCTTGAAAGATTAAAGAAGTCAATGAATGATGTGATTTTTACTTTTGCTCTTCTAAAATAGTTTGATTTTGAAATTTTTATTAGGCCATTTCTGTCCAGAATGTTTAATTGTGGATTGTTAAGTCAATAATATGCTTCATCTAATTTGGTGCAGGTTCCAGAAGGATTTGAAATGTCTGTTCGTCTAATGCTTCCAGGAGAGATATCTATCATCACATGCCCCCCAGACTACGCATATGACAGATTCAAAAGGTGTTTTTATGAAGTAAATATGTGATGTTGCTGTTAAATACGATATTAAGGGTGTTTTTCATGAACAGGCCTGCTAATGTTCCTGAAGGTGCACATGTTCAATGGGAAATTGAGCTTCTTGGTTTTGAAATGCCAAAGGTAAATGGACATTTGTTTTTGCAGCGCCATGACTCTCTTCATTCTCACTAAAATTGTATTTTATCTGTGGGAAATTTTTTTTGCTTCTTAAATTTGATTTACTGTCATATGACTAAAGGGTTTTTGATAGTAACTAGCCAATCCATGAAAGCATCAGTTTGAAAAAGTAACTCAGAGAACTGTTAATAATTTCATCAGTTTTTTAGCCCTATTGTTTTTGTTATAATTACCGCAGTTTGTTTTAGAGAGCCAAAAGTTTGGTTTTTCCATTCATGGAAAAAATTTCTATTTGTGTATTGTTTCCATTTTGGGTGTTATATTTCATGATTTTAGGCCTCTCCAAAAGACTTCTCTAGGACTCTCCAAAGGACTCGCCAAAGGAATTCTCTTGGAACTTTATTGTAAGTTTTTTCAAAATCAACAAAACTCATATGTAGACCCTCTTTATTCTCGCTGTATTTCTCCATCAAACCTCTCAATAAATGTATAGCTTCCATAGGAGACTTACCCAACATAAATCCAAACTGATTATGAGAAATATTTGTATCACGTCTTAATCTATGGTCAATTATCCTCTCCCATAATTTTAAAGTATGAGACATCAACTTAATTCTTCTATATTTTGCACACTCTTATTCGTCCCCTTTTATCTAGAAAATGAGAACGAAAAATACTCTTTCTTTACTCAGACATCTTTTTAGTTTTTAAAATAATGTTAAAGAGTTTAGTAAGCCAAGAAACTCCCGAATTTCCTAAATATTCCATACTTTGATTGGGTTATCATCACGTCATACTGATTTTCAAGTCTTTATTTTCTTTAAAGCCTCCTCAACTTTATTTTTACTAATGCGACGGTAAAAATAAAACTCTTTATTAATAGCAATATTAAGATCAGTAAAGTCTTTCATATTTTCATAAACTTCATTGAAAATTTTATCAAAATTAGCTCACAAACATATGTTGAATATCTTTCTCAAAGAAAAACACTTTTTGATTTTCATCTTTAATACGCTTTACTTGTTTAAATATTTACTTTTCTTTCCTCTTTGTTTGACTAGTTTATAAATATATTTTTAACCCTCTTTAGTATCTAATATATGACAAGGATTACTAAAAGTGGAATTTTTACCATCACAAATTATTTTCTTAGACTTCATATGACCCACCACATATTTTTCTTAGTTCTCTAAGCTTTTATATTTAAACCAATTTTTATAACACAAGTTCTTATATTTTATCTTTACATGTATATTATTATGGTATCACCAACTATTTTTATTTATAAAAATCTTTTTTTTTGATTCTCCAAGTACATCGTTTGCAACTTGTTTAATAGTACTTTTTCCTTTATCTCACGTAAACTTCGCTTCTTCGTGAACATTCCAAATCTTGAAATCTTGAAATCTTGAAATTTACTCATAAAAGTAATTTTACTTATCTGTTAGATGCCCTAATCTAATTCTATGACAATTTTTTCCTGTATTCTTTATTTTACAATTCTTCATCTTAAAATCCAAAACTAATAATTAATGCTATGTACTTAAATTTTCACTTGGAATGACTTTACAATATTTACTTTCTCGACAATATTTTTTTGTCATTAGTAAATAATTAATTTGTATTTTAATAGATCAATTTTTATAAGTAATAATATGCTCATCTCTTTCCTTAAATAAAACATTATCAATAAGGAAATAATACGCTAAAACAAAATCAAATATGGTTTTACCTTCTTCATTAATCACTCAGAAATTGTACTCATCATGATTTTTTCTAAAATCTTCTACTTCTCTACCAACATGTCCATTTAAATCACCTCCAATAAAAATTTCTTCTTCAAGAGTTATCATTTGTATTAATTATTCTATGACATTCCAAAATTATTCTTTTGAGCTTATATCTAAACCTACTTGAGGAGCAGAAGCTTTTATGATAGTAAAAATCTTAGTATCAACAACAATCTTTATTACTATAATTCTATCTCCAATTATTTTAATTTTTACAATATTATCTTTCAAGCTCTTATTTGTATTTGCACCACCATTTCTAGTGTAACTCCTACCTAAATACCAATGTTTAAAACATAAGCTATTAATCTTCTTTGTTTTTCTCCAACTCATTTAGACTCTTGAATACATAAGATATTTATTTTTCTATGAACCATGATATCAACTAATTTCATTACTTTGTCGGAGAGAGTATATATATTTCAAGATCCTATTTGAATTTCAATTTCATGGACTAACTTTTTTACCCGCATCAGTCTGTAATGTGAAACCCTTTTATATTTGACACTACATCCAGACGCCAATACAGCAACCCTTGCACACTTTTCACTGTATCTAGGTCATGCAGTGCATCGCTTCTAGGGGACATCCTAGCATTTACACAAGGATTTAAATGATTCATATCATGCTTCTTTCAACAAATTTTATATTGATTGTCGGATACCTAACGCAACCCTCCACTTTTCACATCTGAGGCTTGGGACCTGGCAATGTCAGTGTTATCATCAATAGTTTTACTTAGTTTTGGAAATCAATATATTCATTTCTTATACATGAAGTGTATTTAATTGCAGGATTGGACTGGATTAAACTTTCAGAATATAATGGATGAAGTAGAGAAAATAAAGAGCACAGTATGATTTAAAGTTTTTTTTTTTTTTTTTTCATTTTGAGCTTTGCATTTAAATAATATTTTCTGGTAGAAGTTATTTAAGTGCTTGATCTCTCTTTTGTTTTTCAGGGGAACAGGCTATTTAAAGAAGGAAAATATGAACTCGCCAAAGCGAAATATGAGAAGGCATTAACTATTAAAAGTTTTACCATTTTCTTTTTAGCTACGCTGTCAACATCATTAGTTTCTCAGCTTTTCTGTCTTCAATTATAATGTTGTAAATGATTATAACTTGAGCTTCATATGTTTATATTTTAGAACACATGCAAATTAAAATTGGACTGGCCTTTGAGAACTGTAGTAGGTGTTGCCAAATCATGAGGGAAATCTTCTATATGGATGCATATGTTGCTTTCTGTTAATTCTAATTCTTTCCTTTGAAAAAAAGTAAAGTAATGAAGACTTTCTTAAACTAGACTTAAGAATTCTAATATTAGTTTCATAAATTTCCTTCATGAATAACTAAATCCTCATTTTAACAGTTTTAAAAATCATAAAGCTGTAGTTTAACATGTTCATTGAGAAGAAACTCTTTTGCTAGATTTGTTATTGCTTTAATAAGTTTTTAGAGTTTGTCAATGAGTGAAGTGTGAAAATAGTCCCCTTATTGTTTAGATGGGGTCTTTTTTGTGTCGAAGTTTATAAAAGTTTAAATTAGTCCACAAACTTTTTTAAGAGGGTTGAAATAGTCCTCATGGACTGCCATCAACATATTTGTTGGAAAACATTCGAGAGTGCTGGCGCGCTGATTATTATGTTAAGCATACATAATGCATAATTGCAATTTAATGCTTTCGCAATTTTCTTATTTATATGGTCTGTTTGCTTTTATTGTCAATTTTATCGATGCATCTAAATGAATTTAACTTCATTTGATTTGTTTCTATTAGGTTCTTCGAGAGTACAATCATGTTAATCCCCAAGATGATGAGGAAGGGAAAATCTTCTTAAATTCACGAGTAAGTTGATTTTGTGTAGTACACATGCAATCTCTACCCCATATTTGGTTGTAGTACTGTCCATTTAAAAGAAGACAGAGTCATTTATGCTTAAACCATTATCCTTTCTAGTTTTTTCAATTCATTTGTATGCTACAATGCCCAACAAACCTTTTAAGCATCATATCTGTGTGCTTATTTGCGGGGATTTGTGTTTGCTTCAAACATTTTTCATTTCTCTTTGGGTATGTGTATATGTTTTGTTGAGCAAATTTATTGTTGATTTTTGTTGTGTTTGAACATTTTTTTATGTTTATTTTACGTTAATGGTGTTTGCAGAACGCATTGCATCTTAATGTTGCAGCTTGCTACCAGAAAATGGGTGAATACAGAAAATCAATCGAGACGTGCAATAAGGTAAATCACTTAAAATAATAGCATTTATAATATGATGTCAGGTATAACGGCAAAGGCCCAATTCTCACGGGAAAAAGAAAAAAACAATGCAAATTAGATGTCTGTGAATAACAAATCTCACGGTTTGTTGAGCCAATTTAAAATAGTAGCATTTACCATTTGAATGAAGATATTTAGAATGAAGAGGTGTTGGTTTAGTATCCGGATGGATTACAAATGTTCTTTTTTGCTTGCGAGAGTGAGCTGACCAAATTTAGCCAAAGTAGAGTTGATAACTTTTCTTTTTGTAGCTCTGCTAATTTTCTTTTGGGTATTCTTTCTTCCACTGGAGTTATAATCTATTTATCATTTTTCTTGCCCATTTGATGCTGAGAGGTACTGGATGGTAACCCTGTGCATGCCAAGGCTATCTATCGCCGAGGCATGGCTTACATGTTACACGGAGACTTTGAGGAAGCACGGAAAGATTTTAATGCGGTGAGTAATAAATTTTGTATTTTACATTGGTGAGTACTAAACCGAGTATTTTACATACTCCTGTAACTCCATGTGGTAATAATGCATATCACAAGGGGATATAATTTTATTGCTTATTCATGCTAGCTTTCTTACTGACATTAGATGATAAGCATGGAGAAGTCCTCTGAGTCGGATGCTAATGCTGCTCTCCAAAAGCTGAAGCAATTAGAACTGGTAATTTTCATCAACATTAATCCTCTTTTAACATTTACTGCTTAGCTAATAGGACAAATGAATTCACTTCTGTTCTTTTCAACGTGAGATATAAATTTCATCTTACAAAAAAACATGTGTTAGGTCTTTACAATTTGTGATACCATTTTAACATTTGTTGTAATATGTGTGTTGACCTTATTTTAGTTTTCAATCGGTCTTGGGCCCATCCATGGGTCTTGTAGGTAAATGTCACATTAATCGTAATCTCAATCTTAATCGTCATCAACTTAGTAGATGTTGATCGAGTATGATCCGTGTTTTCTTTGCATATTTGCATATGATAGTGAGTTGGGTGGCTTGTCGTCACTTGGGTTCGTCATCATGCTCGAATCTGCTTTCCAATTCATGTTTGTCATCAAGGTGCGGAGACCTATGATGAGTGCAAGTGTGATGACAACTCTTCGAAATTTTTAAATGGCTAAATGTGCATGAACTTCCATTTATAAGTCCTGTTTATCAGCCTAAGTCTAAGTCTACACACTTTTGTTTGAAAGGTCTCCTTGGATGGTAAACCATGTTTGCTAACAAGGATCCTCTAGTCACCCTCACAACCCGGAATGATGGAATCATGATGTTTTGATTAGAGACATCATAACTCCTCCCCTTTGATTTGCTTTAGTGTCTTTGAGCCTATCCGCTTTTCATTCCTCTCACTTCATAAATTTTCATCCTCTATAGAACCCTATAGGATCCATTTTGGTCTTCACTTCACATGATCGAATCTATCAAAGTTTTAATCATCCCATGAACACATAAATTAATTCCTTAATGGAGAGTATTCTCGAATATGGCCGGGATGTAATTAATCTTAGGAGCTTGCTCGTTGGGAAATCTAGAACCTCAATTATAATAAACCCTTTTGGACATCTATTTCTTATAGGGGAAATCTATAGGATATAGAATCCTATCTTCCTTCCATTGATCCCCATGTTCCTTCAGAGTCGATTGATTTAAATACAGTCAATCTATTACTGCAGCTGTCAAAGCCCACGACATGTAATGCAAATCCTATTGTTTGTGAAATTTTGAAGTTTAGAATTTATGGTTTATAAAATTTAGCTTAATATAATGCAAAAATACCCCCATTTGAGTGAGCCCCTTTATGTTCTCTAGGTCTTTTATTTTATAATAGAATTAAAGGTTCCTAAATAAACTTCCCTGCATCCTGCTATTGATCTTATGGTACTATAACCATTTCAAGAAAGTTAATAGAATCTCTTAAGGTTCTTTGGCCAGCAAAATTTATTCTAATATATTATTTAATTAATAAAATATTTCCTTCTGATTTCTAATAAGTTATAACAAAATACTTATTATCTTGACTCGTATAATTATTTGGAATATCAAAAGATATGTTGATAGGGAAATTCTTGATTGAGTTGAATTAAACATACTCAATGGAACAACTTCTTCCCCTTGTTTGGTATATAATGTAAAAGTACATTATCATTTAGGAATTCCATAGTATTATTACAACAACAACAACAACAACAAAGCCTTAA